ATGTAGCTCTAGAGCGCCCTTAAAAAGAAAACCACTCGTTCATATACTATTTTGTCAACTCAGCTTTTCCATTCTGAATATTTAATATTTGAATTTTATTGCTGCCCGGGGCCGATTCCGTCACTTATTGTGGCAACATACTTCCGTACAGTTTTGTAAAACGATTTTTAACTGAGCGGAGTTTTTACCACTGGATATAAAAAGTTGCTTTGGATATTTATCAACGGAGTATGGTCTAGTGTAGCAGATTCAACTGTCAACGTAATTTGTTAATCGACTGGCTCCTATGCGTCGTAATGGCACTTTCTCTAAAAAACTGCAAAATTTACAAATGCAGCGTGATTGTTGCTTTAGTAATTTTCGGGTTCGGAGATTTATCAGCGTAGAGGCGGGATAAATTATATTAGAGGAATAAGGATACATGAGTGTGGGCGCGATTTTAAATTGATTTTTGATCCATTACATCGAGTCGATTAAAAAAACAGCTGAAAGCATAAGGTAGAACGCATGGAATTCTAATTGCCATCTTCCGAATATATTGATCTCTAGCGACTGAATTCTGAATTTGGGGATTCCTAAGTAAAAGTTTAGACGGCATTTGCCTGTGCTCCTAGCGGAGGTTATCATATGGATTTTTCACTTTAAATGTAAGTACCGCCATGTTGCATTTCGTTTATTTATCGGCTGTAATTTGTCGCAATCTGATTTCCATCAACAATCGTTGCTTCATCTACGATTAGCCCTCTTATCGAAGAGGTACGTAAATTTTATGTAATCAAAGAAGAGGGGTTACCTTTGATTTCTTTTAGGGTTCAAGTTCCAGTTTTACGTTACATACCGATTCTTGTTTGACGTACAGGTTTTGTAACCGTTGTCTGCTGGTTTCCATCTGCTGTTAGCAATCGGCCATTTTGATGTGAAACCCCTATCAGAAATAGGATACCGGGTCACGACGAAGATATTAACATCGAGCATCGCCCCTCATATTGGGACAACTTCCTTTAATTCTGCGTATTATAAATCCTCTTAAAAGGATAAATTTTTCATTGTAATTGTTAACTTAACTTCGTAAGTTACCGCAATTCCTACCAATCATTATCGACTTGAACGCGGGATTTTCATTTATGGTTTCTGCAGTTCTGATTGCTACAGCGAATGGATATGTTTTCGATCTTGGACTTACGGCCACAAGTAATATGCATTGGCCCTTTAGGTACTTAGGTGCGTGGATTTCTTTTGGTTACAGGGTCGGACTCGCTAACAGTAGAGCTCTCGACCGAGTTTTATTCAAGGTAAGATTGTTACGATTATATGTGAATTCCAGTAACAGAACAATTTATTATTGATCGTAATTCATGTTGCTCTTGGAAACTTTTGTTATTGATTCAGTCATTTTCGATTGGGGGGTTTGCTTAATTGGAAGAATTTTAATTGCACTCAGACTTTGGAGTCACGTAATTAATAATTTTGAATATTTGGGGGATACGCTGTACAATTGTGGCGACAATTTTATTTTGCAATTTGGCATTGAAAATAAACCAGTATTACTTTTGGTACCTAACTTGATCTTAATGTTATTACTACCCTCGTATCTTCTCAATTTCATACGGGGAGAGTTAAGATAGAAATTTAGTGGCGCTCAATCCCATTGGTAAGTGGGAACGAAGGACGAAGATCATATTATGTCCAGAACGAACTTCCGCTGTGGAAGGTCTCAAGTCTAACCTTGAGCTAGTGAGCCGTTTATGCGGCGTGTTTGAGTTTAAGTAGCGCCAACTATGTCAACCTGTTATATTATTTTAATAGTTAAAACCATTTTAAGGGTGGTTTCTTCCCAGTTGAGTCTGGCTGGAGTAGAATTTCTTTGGGATTGCGTGAAAGGATTGGGTATTACAAAATATACATACTTAATATGGTCTTATTTGGGAGCAGGTTCCTTCAAAATTTCGTTGCGTAAATGTTTGGGAAATTGGTGTTGGATAACGGTCATGACTGGGTGTCGCCCCATAAAAAAGCGGATGGCAAGTAATACTGAATCAGGTCCGTCGTATCTTGCGCGGGTTTTAGCATGAATCGTGAGAATTTTTCGCTAGAACACGGCCGTGTTCAGCTAATTTGAATTTCTTGTGGTAGATATGAGTTAGATCAAAGAGGTCCGTGGGCATTACGCGGATAGCCACGAAAAACTTCCTGTAAAGCAGACAAAAAAGCTATTTAAGTGAATCATCTGCAGTTACTGGTTGATTATTTTTAGTTAGTAGACAAAATTCAGATTCCGTGTATACTTGAGACAATCTAATGGCGTCTGTTAGCAGAAAGAAACAGTAAAATGTGTTGTGTAGCAAGATCAGACCAGTAAAAACCAGGAACATTGATTTACGCGTTCAGAAACTTACGGAAATATTAAATGGCAGGTGTTTTTTCATAAAACTGCGCAATAAATTTACTTGCGTTTTACACATGAGGGAGTAACTATGCTAATTCAGACGACAGGGCGAGTGGATTTTTCATCGAGTAAATTGAACTTTTGAATTGAACCTCCATATTGTCTGTTTACAGTTTATTGTCGTAAGTACGTATTGGTTTTCTTTCTTTTATGGTCACCGTTTTAATTAGTTGAGATTCTCTGGCATACTTGAATTGTAATTGGCACCAGCACTGTCGGTGGACTTTCCGCGCAGGTTTTGACGCTTTATGCGCTTTTCAACTTTCTTTTCCGGCTTTACTTTTGGGTTGGGCACTCTTAAAAACAGTTAACGTGGGCTAGAAAGTTGTCATATATAGTGTAATAAATTGCAATTGTTTTAAATAGAATGTTTGTCTTTGGCAGTTCACCAATCACTCAGTTTTAGGTCGAGATAGCTTTTCTACGATCTGTGACGCTATACAGGGTCATTCAAATTCGAGGGCCAGCATGGGGATTTCGGGAACTGTAAAAGATAGGTAGGTAGTTCAAATTTGGCAAAGTTGCGCATTTGGATGTTTAACAAAATGCAGTTTTGAAACTAAAAAAATTCCGACTACTTTCGTAGATATCCGGAAAAATCCGAAACTTTGCAAAATCGTCTTTATTTTTTACTAAAGTTATTTAAACAGATATTTTGAAATAAATATATATTATTATTGGCCACTTTTGTCCCTATACGAGATGCTACTTTTAAATTTTAAGTTTGACGTTTCGTCTCCAGTCAATCATCATCAACTTTGTCTTTTCTTATGGAAGTAATTTTTACTTTTTGTGTCATTTGATGGAGAATTTTTTTCTGAATTCAAAAATGTAAACATCACTATCTTTTAATCATAAATAGCGCTATTAATTCGTAAAAACGCAAAAAACTACGTAATACATACACTATCTAAGACAAAGTTTTCTAGGCAAAAAAGAAAATATTTTAATAATTTTAAAAAAATTGTGATGTTTATATTTCTGAACTCTCTTTTGAATTCTCTATCAAATGACCTAAAAAGTAAAAATTACTTCCATAAGAAAAAACAAAGTTGATGATGGTCAATCGGAGATGAAACGTCGGACTTAATATTTGAATCTAGCATCTCGTATAGAGAAAAAAGTGGGCATAATAATATGTTTTTATTTAGAAATATCTTTTTTATTATATCTGAATCACAATCTCCGTGTTAAACACTCAAATGTGTGCGAAAAAAGGCCTTTAAAACACACATGCTTTAAAGTTGCTAAGTAACGATACTTCAAGTATGACTTTTTAAACTGTCATCTGGGTGAAATAAAAAATCATCTTAGGTCGTTTTCTGTAAAATGCAGAACATTTTTTTGGCTTGTACCTATCCTTTGGTTGAAGCTTTCACAAACGCGCGTAATTTAGGGTATGCTTCCAAATCTGTTCCACTTTTTAATCGCAGCATTGTTTGAAGTTTTGAATGAATACACCAAAAGATAGAAGATTTAAATACCTTTCGCATTTCCTTCATATATGCCAGCATTATCGATGCATTTAAGACTTTATTCGTAAGTAACTTCCCATTCATCCATGGAAACAACTTTTCATATTCTGTATAAAAGGCTTTACTGAATTTGGATTTTACACCTACCAATGTTTGTTTAGATTTTACAACAAGCGATTTAATGGACGGTGGATTATCTTTTTTAACGGAAATCGTGTTATTCAGAAAGACGATGATTTTTATAAGCAAACATCAAGTGACATTTCCATGGTAATCGGGAAATTACGAACACCCAGCCCACTTAATTAGACATGTATTCGAGTATAACGTCAATATGATTTCATTTTATTTCCTATTTTTAAATTATACTGCAGGTATAATAAGAAATACTATGAGATGCACGTGTATAATGGGTCTTTAAAGCACTTACAACGTTAAAGGCACTCCGCTTCGCGTCGTGCCATTAAACTCGTTGCGCGTGCTTTAAAGACTTGATTATACACTTGTATCTTAATATACTATTTAAATAACTTCAGTAAAAAATAAAAACGATTTTGCAAAGTTTCGGCTTTTTCCGGATATCTCCGAAACTAGTTCAGCGCGTATGTGTTGTCGGAAAACCTAGCGTTATCTCTTAAAAGATTATAGATTTTTGCCATTTATATTCTAAGCACCCTCTCGTGGATTAGAGGTATGAAACGGTTATGTTCAGAAGGGGGTAATTTCTGGATCATGTTTTTGGAGAGTGCAAGTGCCCACCCCGCATTTCAAGTTCAAGTTCTAGTCCCAAGTGCATTTCGAGTTGTAAATCAAGTGTAGATTTCAAGATTTTGAGTAGATTCAGGCTTACTTGCGACAGCTTCTTATCAAGACCCCGAGATAACAGCGACGATTTTGTTATGCTTCTCCTTACTATAACGACACGGTTTGCCATTGATGAAGGAAAAATTAAGAAAATGTAGGTCCTTTCTAATGCGCACGAAAGTACCTCCGAAAAGGTTTCAAACGCAATAGGGACCACGTACAAATAAATGATGAGTTAGCATGTAACGGTTGGTTTATACAATAATTATCATTAGTTTGGCATGAATTTTTTATTTTAACATCTTACGCTTACCACAAAAATACAAAAGGGCAATTAGGTTGCAACATTACCTATTCAGTAATGGATAATTTCGCCAGCTCAATTATTACACAATCGTGAAAGTCGATAATCTTCTCTAAAGGGCTAGTACCCTTCGCAGCGCTACAACTGTTATACAGCGTTTGCCAGAGATCATGCGCCGCGCAATCGTCAATTTTATCCTTCAGCAGAAGTGGACCTAGCCGAACCAACTTATCAATTAAAGGTTCACGGTTTAACTGGCCATCTGCCTTAATCAAATGGAATTTACGAATGTTACATTCGTAAAATTCGATTGTATTGGGATGGATTGGGCGCCTTACGATAAAGTTTTCGTCAAAGATATTAGATAAGTGAGTACTGTCGAAGTTTAACTCTTTCACACATGTTTGATCCTGCAGTTGTTTCTCTAATAAGACCTTTGCTACATCAAAGGAGGTACCCTGTAATTAGTATATTAAAAACGCAAACCTTCGTCAATCTCATAGGTACCTGAGTAATCCAAGCGATGAATACGCAAAGGACCAGCTTCTTAATCATGTTGATGCTACGTGGATGACTCTAAAATCTACTCTGGATTAGAATTTGTTACAATATTATTGTGCTTCGTTACCATATTACGTAGTCATTTCGGTGACCTTATGATCTTGAATTTCCTTATAATGCTTTCAGCAACCTTGATAATTCTATTATCGCAGATCAAGGAGCACCGAACTTAATATGCAGCATTCTATACTCGTGACTATAGTGTTAGTAATATTCATTTAAGCTATTTCCGGGATTACCGGTCGGTACGCAATAATGCCGATTCCTCTTCTTTCGCCTATCTTCCATTTTTTTTCTATTCCACCCACGTGCTTCTGCCAAGTGTTATAGGGGCCAAGAAATTAGCGAACATTGGTAGATTTCGCCACTCTTCTCAGTAAATACATCCAGTCCATTTTGATGTTAATTCAGGTAAAATTTTGAGGGATAGGCAGCTTCTCACTCTATCAGCGCCTCATTAAGCGAGCACGGAAAATCACCACGGGCAAGGAACGCTTCCTCGCCGGAAGTCGCAATCTGAACGACTTGCATTCTTACAACACTGGCCGAAGGTTGCATTAGATAATGCAGTACGTTCTTTTGTTTAATTATCCACAATGACGAAAATCTACCGGAGGAGCTTTCAAATATCATTGATACAAAAAACTCGTTAACCTTGCACGACAATAGTATAGTAAGGCCGATATGAGCTCACTTTGAGCTTGAGTTCTGCGCATGCGCCAACTCCCCAAATTTAAAACTAGTGCGCATGCTCCAATTCCAAGTTTGAAACAATTATTTTGGACAACAACCGTGATGAATTTCAGTGACATTCGTTCAAGAAAGATCCCTAGTTACTTTGGATAACAATGATTGAATTGAGTTTAGACAACAACCACGACCTTCAATCCACTTAGTGCATGCGCAGTAGTTCAACCTTGTAATTGGAGTGTGCGCAGTAGTTTTAAATTTGGGGAGTTGGCACATGCGCAGAACTGAAGATTAAAGTGAGCTCATATCGGCCTTACAATACTACTCACGACGCTATACAGCTGAGGTCAGATCATATCTTAAAACAAGGCTGTCCGATCCCGAGCTTGAAAGAATCAAATCCCGGTGCTTGGAACCGTCGAACTTCAACTTGGAAGCACTCTCGTCGTCAACTTTGGAATCTCGGCAATGGCGGAACTCGAATGAGCACTAAACTCACTTCTAGAGGAGGAAAATAACATTCCTAAACAGGTAAAAAACGATCTCTTGCAGAATTTTAGCGGTTCTAGTCATATTATGCTACCAAGCTTGTTCCACAACATAGGTATCTTGCGTACGGCGTACTGTTATTTATCCCCTCCTATACAAAAACGTGAAAGATTTGACGGAAAAAAACGGGCCAGATCTGCCAGAATCCATAAAACAGCTAAGCAATTAAAAACAGCCGGAAAGGTAGGTACAATAGGTTTTAGGCAATTTCCATTGCAAAAAAGGAAGGGCGTCGATTACCCGCCTTCTTTAAACTGCTGTCATCCGGTTCGTCGAATAAAGACCCCGAAGGACACGAAATCAAAAGGTCAAACCTCGAAACCAGACCGGATTCGCTTTTGGCGGAGATATTAATATTGGTATGTTCAAACGGCTTCTACGCGGGAAGGCTGGGCAAACTCTTTCGCGAATGGCTCAAAATTAGAGTTAGAGGTTATGAAACTGCCTTTTACAAAGAAGCCTTTTCAAAAAAGACCCGAATTCCTAGCAAAGGAGGCTAGAGGTTGCGAATTTGGTAAAGCATGCAGCGGTGATCCAATACGTTCAAATACAGACATAAAGGACCAGTTCCTACCAGAAATCTTTTTAGCTGACAAACCCAACGAAAAAAAGAGATTTATACTAAACTTGAAACCTCACTTGAAAATTTTGAAACAGTTTCAGGATTACTCCTAAGAAGACTACCATCGATTTCAAAGATGCTTTCTATGCCGTCCCTATACACCGTTCAGATAGAAAATATCCGAGGTTTTAGTTTTACGGGAACAATTTTCAAATTTACCTGTACCTAGACGACTTCCTAATTATAGGATTGAGACTGACGTAGAAGTGAAATTACTTGTTTTTCTCGGCCAATATAACACACAAGTGTACTATGTACGTACATAACACGTAATTATTGGACTTAAAAATGTACACTGTACATGGACACACATACGATGTACTTTATATGGACGTACATTTTAAGTCCATTTGTCACATCATTGTACCTGTAGTGTACGTACACTATTTACGTCCAAAGTATGTACCTATTGCACGTACTTTGTAGATACTATTGTATACAATGTACATTGTAGGTACATAACAAGTACACGATAGTGAAAAAGTACCGTACAATGGGCATAGTGCGATTTTTATTCATATTTCAATACTTTTAATATTAAAATAGTGCCAAACTTGCGCTACAGTACAAACGGGAAAATAATTAAAATACAAGACGGCTGAGATCACGGTTCACTTTCACTAAATACTTCATGAAATAATCATTAATTTGATCGTCCCAATTCGCGTGTTTTCAGTATATTCTTTAAAATGATAAAACGTGACTGATAGTGGTTCGGGTGAAGTAATGGGCATAAATATTTAACATGCATAGTACGTATTGAGATGTACGTCAAATGTACGTCCATTTTTAGTACATGGACGAACTTACCTAAAATGAAAAAAGTGTGCTACAGCTCCACCAAGCAAACAAGTCCCTCGGAAAATATGCGAACTAATTTAGGCAATTCGTGGCGGGAAAAAGTTAAGCCAATACCTACAAAGCAGGCGTGTACAGTCCGTAAAAAATGTGACAGTGACACATTTAGAGATTAAATTATAAAATGCGCTTGTTGCACCAATTTTATCCGTACGGCAAGAAAAGAGAAACAAACCTCTGCAATTGTACATTCCGAAACCAGAAATGTTATTGAAAGGGTAGTGGAATTCTTCGGCAAAGAGAAAGCTGCCGGTGTGTAGATATTTCCTTTTGGAGAGGGTGCAGAGATTAAGTAATGTGAATTTCATTAATATTCCTCTGAAATAAATACTTATTGTTATCCTGTAGATCGAAGTCAAACTTGCCGATGATAGGATATGGAAATTTCCATCAAAGAAGCAACGAACATTGGATAATTGTGATTTAGGCGTCTTGAAGAATGAAGTTTACATGATCCATAACAAAATCTCTACAATCAATAATTTAGTTAATAAAATGAAGAAGAAAATAGGCTGCATTGGAGGTAAAGATCAAATTTTTTGACGAAACCTACATCCATCCATTTTATGGAGTGATTGCTAACAGAAGATGAAACTGGTGTATATAAAACTGATTGAAGCAGGATGAAATAAATTGGAATGTATTGAAAATGCACATCTCATCATCAAATCGAAAAGTATAAGTCTGGGTACATTATAATCCACATTAAGAGATTGGAAGAATAAATGTGGCAACGCCATGGATTGTTAGATGACGCTCTAGAAAGTATATCTTTCACGGTAATCACTGGCACATCGGGCGAAGGTTCTGAAATCAGTGAAGATGAACGTGACGACGATACTGTTTAATTAGTTTAATTACACACTGCTTTGTCATTAGTAGTACTTAGCTAACTAGGTATTTTGTTATTTTGGTTTGTAATTCTTGTACTAAATTTCTTTCTCCAGTTTTCCAACGTAGCTTCATTAAAAAATGCCAAAATAGAACAAGTTTAAATTTCCCGCCAAACACTATTGACACAGACTGTACTTCTAAAATACAGCGACACCAAACCATCGCCTTCTTGACGGACTTGTTTGCTTGGCTTGACTGTATATGGGGGAGTTCATAAATAGGGAAAAAACGTACTTTTCCCAAGCCAATCTTGTAAATTTCTAGGTTTTAATTTCAACACCAAGACATGACTATAGGACTACCGGAGTCAAAAATTAATAACTTCCCTTAGTTCTCAGGAGTTACGCAAAGTTAAGACATTGGCTGAGTTCCTAGGGTTTCCGGTATAGGTTTGTCCAAGAAAGTATGAAAACCGTTGGCCGATTATCGACCTTTTCGCATCAAAAAATAATTTCAAATATCCGAAGTATGTCTCTTGGCAAAAGGATCTCGGGTCTATGGGTGTGGATCCTGATCTAAATTAGTCTTCTATGCGTTTCCAACTTTCTTCGTGATCCTACGAAGCATACAAAAAATCTCGGAGACAAAATCCTGGTGGTACCGTACTGGTCATCCCAGCCATGGTCCCCGCCATTACTCAAGCTACAAGTCACCCAACCGGTATTATTTGAACCAAGTTCCGACTTACTTTCGTATCTTTCCAGCGCCAGACATCCACTAGCGTCAGAGCTTACCCTGGCTGCTTACAGAGTCTCAGGGAAGCCTTCACTCTGATGAAACTGCCTACGCAATTGAAACGACGATATAGTCCTTGTTAGAATCTACCCTAAATCAGTATAATGGCAGCTACAAGTTGTGGTGAGAACAAAAAAAAGTCTCACCATTGCTAGTCTGCACGAAAGACTATCGAATTCCTAGAGAACGGTAAATACAAATAACTCAACAATAAATGTCCATCGCGTACCACTTTTGCTGATCCTTGAGGACAAAGTGGGAGAGGGCTTTAGGATGGAAACGTTTATGAGAGGCGTGGTAAAATTAAGTCCCTCGGCTTCCAAGTATGATTTTACTTGAGAACCGGCGACGGTTTTAAAACACCTACAAAACATAGTAACCGGACATCGACTTCAATCCTTATCTTCCATCAGAATTGAAAATTAAGGCTCTTCTGTAGCCAATCCGCCATATTGGAAAAAATAGCTAAACGTTCTTATGAAATGCTGCTTTTGTAGTTGCAGTCTAACAAATTCTCGATAGTGGATATTCTTTGCAATGATGAAAAGAACGGCGGTACTTAAAAAAATTGAAATATCGGTCTTAGTTTTTTAGGAAGATCGGTGAATAGAAAAATCGTTTTTTGTAGATAATAGCCGATGTAATGAGGGTATATATTTAAAAAAATGTTCCAAAACCCACTCGTGGGTATTGCCGCGTAACACAAAGTATTGAAACGACGCATCGTCACCAAAAGCACACAAAATGTCGAATCTGCATATTGAAGCACGTCCACGTTCAGAGAAAGAGAGGAGTTAAATAAGTAAAATAAAGTTTCAAAGAAATATTACCATACATAAGAAAGTTGGCTATGAGCAGCCTGTGTAGTCACTGCGTATGCCCACATAATTTTTACTATGCGCGAAATGTTTATCTTTACTAGAAGCGTCTGTGGTTAAAATTTCAAAGCAATATCTCCACAAATAAGAAAGTTGGCATTGCGCAGTCACTGCGCATGCCCACATAATGTTTACTATGTGCAAAATGTTTACCTTTACTAGAAGCGCCTGTGGTTAAAATTTCAAAGAAATATCTCCATAAATAAGAAAGTTGGCATTGCGCAGTCACTGCGCATGCCCACATAATTTGTACTATGCGCGAAATGTTTATCTTTACTAGAAGCGTCTGTGGTTAAAATTTCAAAGAAATATCCCCATAAATATGAAAGTTGGCATTGCGCAGTCTGCGCAAAATATGGAGTTAAATGAAACTGATCGAATTGGGCAAATATAGACCATAACAGCTATCAATTAGCGAAAACCCGAAGTCTCTAGGTGGCTCAGGGGCCGAGATCTCGATGGAACGGACGGACGGACGGACGGACGGACGGACGGACGGACGGAAACACGAGCACATAAGCTTTACCTCAACTTCGTTGTGTTACGCTAAAAATATGTTTCGCGATCTTCAGAAAAAATCAAAACGCTAACGTAAGGATAGGCAACTCAAATTGCACTTATAACGCCTGAGGCGACAACTCATTACTTGAAAGGGAAAACAAAAGAAACTACCTAGCATTACCCTGCACATTGTTATGCCGTTCCTAATGATATGGATTAGATAAATTGCTATTTATTATTTATTTATTTGAATGCTGTTGATTTGTAAATCATAATGTCACATATTCCCAAGACGAAAAATGGATATCCTATTATAGGTACATTGGAAATAATTTTTTATTTCTTTCTAAAACCTTTTAATTCCCATCTGGATGCTTCAAGAAATAAAAAAAAAAACCTATAATGAGGCTGTAGTAATATTTCCCTTTGGCGGGGGGTACGTACAATGCTATAACTCTCGCCAGGAAAGATTGCCGGTCACAGAACACTTGATCCCGATCTACAATCTCTGTTTTTCGTAAGGTGCTAGCGACTTCCGGGATAGTATCGTGTCAATGTTGAACAAAAAGACGTTTCGTTCAACATTGGCATGATCCTATTCCAGAAGTCGCTCGCATCTTAATAAAAACAAAGATTGTAAATCGACACAAGGTGTGCTGTGACCGGCAATCTTTCCTGGCGAGAGTTATAGGTACTTCACATATTATATCATAAGTTTTATACCAATGCTTTCAAACTACCAAAAGCGTAGCACTATGTTTAGTTAGATCATATCAAATATGACTAAATTATATGTTTGTGTATATTTCCCATCTAAAATTATCAGTTTCCTCAGATAGTCCAGTATGCGGAGCAGTCAGAAGGGCCGATTCCTGCAAAATGTGGTGTAAACGATTTTAACGTTTTAAATGGTCCATTTGGGTCCAAATAACATGTATTTGAAGAGTGCACACCAATTTTTTCCCGGCACAACTTTTGGCAGTCAAAAAACCTCAAAACGTTCGGACTTTTTTCACTTTTTCGCTTAAAACTCGAAAACGGTCCATATTTTATGAATAATACTTCTTTAGTAAATTAAAGAAAACAAAATTCTGCGTCGATAAAAAAAACAAACAAAATCGGTCCAATAGAAAAATGTTTACAAGCGATCAAAAAACGCCCATTTTTTCCAACTTTTCTAAAGAACTGAGTTAACCTTTTTTTAATGCGTTGTGGCTCCCAAAGGAACGAAAAAATCCACTACCTTCCCTCCCTAAAGATTGTAGAACATCAATCAGAGAGTTCAAAAAGTACCAACAATTTAAAATTGGACCAGTTTTTGAATTTCGTTGGAAAAATGGGCGTTTTTTGATGTTTGCAAAAAATTTTCTATTGGACCGATTTTGTTTGTTTTTTTTTTATCGACGCATAATTTTGTTTTCTTTACTTTACTAAAGAAGTGTTATTCATAAAATATGGACCGTTTTCGAGTTTTAAGCGAAAAACTAAAAAAATGACAAAAATTTTGAGGTTTTTTGGCTGCCAAAAGTTGTGCCGGGGAAAAAATTGTGCGTACTCTTCAAATACATGTTATTTGGACCCAAATGGACCATTTAAAACAATAAAATCTTTTACACCACCTTTTGCAGGTTAAAATTATCTGCATACTGGACTAAGAGTAGGTCTTCGTGAAAATTATCTATTTCGAGAAATGCGACCAAAAGCAAAAGATGCACATGCCCTTTGCTTTCCATAAAGTTGCGCCCAATAGATAACAAATGACACATAGGCATTTTTTCACTTATTAGCGGAACATAAACATACGAAACGTCGTATGGTATGTTATATAAAAGAAACGCTACCGATATAAATACAATTCCCCTTTTTAGTTAAATTCCTAAGCGGGATACGATAACTAATGGCCGACACTGACAATTTTATTTAAAACAAAGTGTTTGGAGTGGTGTAGGTTGCGACTGCACTGGAACCTAGAGTAGCATTGGGTAGTGTTCAGTGATGAATCCGGATTTTGTTTGGGTATGCATGATGGCCGTATGAAGGGCAGCCGAAGACGTGGGGAACGTCGCAATGTTGAATTTTCTGTTATGAGGCATGTGCACTAAGCTGTGGGGACTATGGTATGGAGTACTATAACTTATGGGACTAGGGCTCCTTTGTTATTCTTTCGAGGTAATACGACCCCCCAGCGATATGTGGATGACGTGATAGAACCCGATATTCTTCCATCTCTTCAGCAGTTGGAAGACCCACTTTTCCAGCAGGATAATGCCCCTCCCCACATTGAAAGACGTTCTATGGACTTATTTGCACATGATAACGTCAATTTCTTGCCATAGCCACCCAGATCTCCCAGTATATCGCCTATCGAGCAAGTTTGCGACATTATGAAGAGAAGACTGATGAACTTACCGCATCCTCCGCAGACACTGCAAGCTCTACACAATGAAATAGAGGTTACTCACAGTTGCTTGGGACACAATACCTCAAGAGGAAATCGGCCGTCTGCTAAAATGCGATGCTACGAAGCGTGAGGGAGTGCGTAACCAATAGGGAGGGACTACTATTTTTGTTAATAAAAATATGTTTATATTTCATCCTTTTTCTTTTAAATTTTAATCTATTGTTACCTTTTAGTAGCTAAACGTTTCTGCAAAGTTTGGTCAAAAAATTCCAACTCCTTCTTGGTGTTGCAATTTCCATGTCACTGAGTATATATAAGAAAATGAAGAATTTATTTTAGGTGTTCGAAGTGCCGGTTTATTAGGTTCTACAATACCAAAGTGAATTCATTCATGCACATATCTATCTAATAACTATAAAAATCTATAAATCAGTAAAATTGATTAGAACAAATCACAGGAAATGTGCTTAATTAAAAATGTTAACAAACAATGCTAATCTGGTCCACTAATGACCTAAGAACTAGATAATTTACAGGAGGTATCATTATAGAAAAATGCATTGAATAATTAAGTAATTTCCCCAATGGTAAAAGAAATAGGCATTTGTGGGGAAGAAAAGTCATGAACAAATGCAATAATTAGTTAATTATACTCTTGAGATATAATAATTCTTCTTCGATTATGGGCTCTCAAAGCTTTACTCAAGGACCACCTCTCTTTCAGAAAATCCCTCTATTCTGATCATAACCATCCCACTACTAATTCTTCTTTATTTTTGTACCAATACGCCATAACCACCAAAACGATAATGCGGATTAAATGGTGATTTTAATATTTTAGAACAAAGCGTTTTATTTTAATTAAGTATGTATGTCGAAATACTCACTGTGTACCTCTCTTTGACATAAATAAATTATTGCTCCTTATCAAGTCCAAAAAATGGCTTAATATATTATAAAGTACAGTTAAAAACAGATTTATCTGAAAATGTCATCGAGCCTGAAATGGTAGACCAGTTAGCAACAGGGAAATTGATTGTTTACACATCGTTTTGGATTGGTAACTCTCTAAGATATTTACAACGATTTGCAACGTTCCTATTTTGGACATCATGGAGTTAATCTTGGCAGGGCCGATAGAAGACATGCCTGTTGATTAAGCGCCACCAGTCGGTCAATCAGATCATTAGGTCACCGTTCACACGATAACCAGCGGGTATAAATTTGACCCACATAATCCCGAAAAAAGTAAGTTTCTGGTCAACCCACACGCGCCAACGACATGAATGGAAAGCTGATGATCTGCCTCTTCCTGGCCTGCATCTTCCAGGTAAATACAAATTACAATGTTCGTTGGGCATCTACGTAACGTATTGGTTAGGTGCGGTCTGGAGTAGTACCACAGGTGAACATAGACGCCGACGAAGCGGAGGCATGCATGAAGGGCACGGACACTTCCAGTATGGTCGACGAAAACGCCCACGTAATATATCCAAGTGAAGTAACAACCAAGTATTTTGAATGCGCCCTCCAGGCGGGTCATTACTTTACAAAAGACGGCGAGTTTGATAGCGAATACATACTCGGAAAGCTGGCAAGCAACTTTAGTGCGTTGGTAGGGGAAGACGTCGATGGCAAGAAAGCGAGACAAATGGCAAATGAGCTGTATGCTCCATGCAATGTTCCAAAGGGCGAAAATAACGTAGAAAAACTAGTCAACTTTAATAATTGCGTGGTGATTGAACTACAGAAGAAGGCCACAGCTTAATAAACGCTACTGTAATTTTGTGTATTAAAATAAAGTCGCATGCAATCGAGGTTGTTATTTATACTGACTACACCGAAAGTGTTTCACAGAAATCCTAGGTAGGAGTTGCAATTAATTTATTATAATTGTTGGAGACCAAAATCGCACAGATAATTAAGGTATGCAATAAAATAATAACAGTCTCATTTTTAATAAGGAAATCGTCCGCATAGGAAAAATGCTCTGTTCCGATGCCCCCAGTAATTAACTGTAAAACAAAGAAAAAACAACTCGGTAATAAAAATTGCGTATCCACCTAATTCAATTATATCCTCCACAATGAAAGATAAGACTCGATCCAACTAATTCCAGAACTCCCACACCATAAGGTTACTGATCATGTTATAATAATACTTACAGTTTCACAATTGCACGTTGAATTTCGTATTAAAAATGCACCAATAAAAATTCAAGTTAAACGGGATCCAATTGGAAAATACTGTACTCCTCAAGCAAACTATCATTTTTTATTGACCTGCTTTTTCTTTGTATCAGGGGACATGTAGTTTCGGATATCCAGCGCAGACTCCAGAGAAGGCCCCTTCGAGCTATGGTGTAACTCCAACCAAGGAATTACCATTTCTATGAATCGTAAACTAGAGAGTGAACCAACGGTCCAAAGTTGAACTGCTCGAAGGGTAGACTCGAACTTGTGTGTAAATAAGATCTTCCCAACTGGTTTTTACGCTGTAACTTTCAGTAGTGGTTCAGTCGTACTGGCTGATTGCTTTGGATTGCTCAAGCCAAATTTGTCAGGAGAGTCAGAAAGATCTTTTTAAAATCATCGAATTTTGTTAATCTGTACTATAAGCATTTCTAATTATACAATAATATGTTAATTTTAAAATACGTAAAATAAATAGTTGTTAGGACGTGGAATAAAGGAACATTGTAACTTCATCCACAAACCCGTATTGCCAAACGATACCAAGCTCATACAAAGGCTGGAAAATTAGTGATTAGTGATAAATCTATATTTTTCGGTGTAGTACAGTATGATTATCATTATCGACAAGTAAACAAGATTATTTGTTTGTTTTTTAAACTATTTATTATCTCTGGGTCATTAGATAATTATGCAATAATTGAATTCCACTAAAAACTAAAATGAAGTCATAATGATAAACTTTTATTATGCCATGAGCAACAACAATGATCTCTTTACACCTTCAAGGCTTTATTGCTTAGAAGGGAGGGGCGTTTCTTTGGCAGAGCCTTTTTGGGAAGAGACCGTCTAACCTAGCATTAAAAAAACTCTTGCCTTTAAAATTAGAACCCTTCACCATGGAGAGTTAAAAAAAACTTATGGTCAATTTGTTTAAATAGTTTATAAGACGGAATGGGCACCTGAACTGGGTAAACAATGAAACTTCCTAGAAGTTGAGGTAGTGGTTTCAAAAAGGCTGAAATTGAATTATGCAATTTACACAGTGTTTGTTATCATGTTTGTTATCCATTATAGTCTAAATATGATACTATGTGAACTGATGTCATGATTTGGTCAACAAATACACCTTTGCGTAATAACCTGGCACTATCAAAGCTACCCTTTCCAATGCGAATGGAGTTACATTATTCCATTGATCAACAGGTAGCGTGGTTAAATATTCCAAGGAACGCTCCAATTGCTTTTTGGAAGTTAAAAATTGTGAATCTTTTGTCTCCAAACTATGACCTTGAAGGATACAATACGGTTTCCATGTAAAGGGAACGATTACGTTTAACGCAGCGCATACCAAACTGTGGGGGCCTCCCTAACAAAATCCGAATTGGTTTGGCTTTTATTATAACAAATTCATCCGAAAGTACACTCCAGAGGCTTATAAAAGGTTTGATTGAAGTCTATTTAGTTAGCCCTTTGATGTCCTGCTAAATATGCTACGAAAGCGAAATTCCAAGTAGAAAAATTTGAAAATACTTTCCAAATTACCTTCCATAGATTTTAGTAAAGCGGTCCTCATTTTCTTAATTCCGTAATTTACTGCACTCTCTTTACATAAAGATGTCATCAGTTTTCTGAAAATGCGGGTGAGATTTCCCTAAGGACCTTTTACATTCCCGGGTTGTCTACGTACTATAATCAAATCAAGATAATGAATGCAATGAAGCAGAAGAACTTTTATTCCTACAACATAATTCAATCATAGTTTAAATATAGTTTAGGATGACATAGTAACGAAGATAATAACGGCCATCCTGTATGTGCTAATGTTTTAATTTAATTTAAATCTGGAGGATTTCATTCCGAATAAACACAGAATTGGTTATTTCATCAGAATTTGTTATTTTAGTGTCTATTTTTCGATTTTAGAATTGTTTGCAATTTTTCTTCGATATGTTCCGAAGTGAGTTGAGACTATTGAGTCTCATAATTTATTAATTTTGAGTCATTATTCGGATTTTTATATAAAACAAACAAAAACCCCCGACTCATCACACAAGCCGATAACAAACATCGTAATTGAATTTCAAAGCCACCTTCCTGCGGGTTGTATAATTCGTAAAGATCTAGAATGTGGAACATTCCATTACAGGTAAAACGCACATAAAGTCTGAAATATACTCTAAATTGCATCAAAGCTCCTTATATTAATCTTAAATGAAAGCTACCCACACTTGTGGAAAAGCTTCATTGCGTACTAATATCTTTCACTTCCACTTGACAAATAATAAAACGAACCCTTGGGTATCCCCAAAACATTTGCTTCATAGATTTGCTTCATAGATTACAATCTATGAATGTACAAAGCTACCCCCAATATTGTGTAGTGTTTTCTAAATCCTTGCAAATTCAAATTTATAAAGCAAAACCCTAATAGATCGACTGCAAATAATACAAATGTAAATAAAATACATTATACCCATTAAATTAATAAATTAATTTATTTATTTATTTCGCCACGACCAAAACAACTCATTAAGTTTCTCTCTCTCTCGCGCGCGAGTGAACATCCATAAGGCGCATCTACTTGCGTGCCTTCGTCCTGGAGTAATTAGAATTATTAATATTCTCCAGTGGCGTAACTTGCGTCTTTTGCATTTAATAAAATCCATAAAATTTACAGCGGGAATTGTTCAATTCAAAACGGTCATATGTGGAACATTACAAGTTTAAATAGCCCTTAAAAACCCTTAAAAGCATTCAAACTGCCATAAAAACTCTCAGTTATTAAAGGTTTACAAAGACTTTTAGGCAATCTGCAAAGCTCTGGGGTGCTTGCACATCATTAAAGCTGTAAAATACCCTCCAAGCTACTTGTACACTCATTCCATAGGAACCCTTAAGCACTGAAATCGTGGTAAAGATTCTAATGCATTCCAACAGTTACTCTTCACGATTTTAGTAGACCTTTAAGAACCCATAAAGACCTTTTAAGCTTGTAGAGATCTCTAAAAAGCCTTTTAGCGACATTGGGAAGCTCTTGCTTGGAATATTCTTAATGCTTAAAGGCGTAAAAGGATTCTTAAATTCTATTAAATCTCTAGAAGGCTTTATAAAAAAACTTACAAAAGCCTTAAAGCTAATAAAAGCTCGAAAGGTTTTAGAGGTTCCTGCACTTTTGAAAACGCCCAAAGGGTCCTAGTGGCTATTAATTGCCTTTAAAGGTACTAGAAAACCTTGGAAGGTGTAACAACACCGTTGAGAGTATTCATAGGATTTTAAAGGTTTTTAAAGCTCTACAACAAACTAGTTGTCAGGTAAACTCCTGACTTGACTTTCCGACTACTTTTAATAGTCATTGCAATTATTATCTTTGGTCATAGTATAACATTTAGAAAATGCCCTCTAGCGCCTTGAACCCGACACAAAAAGTGTAGAAGTTTTTTTGTAGATCTCATCAAGACCCTTCTTTTTTGTAAGTAACACTTTTCACTTTGATGCTTACTTTTAGAGGAAAATGCAAATTAAAAAAATAAAATAAATACTTTAAGTTTTCAATTCAAAACTTCTCTTAACCAAAGGAACTCACAAAAAAATTGTAATGAACTTTTTGTAGTTTTTAAGCCATTTTGGCCAGTGTAAGTTAAAAAAAGGAAAAAAAAATTTTTTCAAGCCGCTATGGATCTTTTAAACTTTTGACACCCTCAACAACCATGAACGTTTTCGATTCCCCATACCAACCTATATGCACCCCAAATTTTGTCCAAATCTGTTCATACCCTTAAATGCTCATAAATATTCTTCAATACCTACGAAGGATCCTAGAAGTTAAACTTTTGTTGGTTGCAGTGAAGTATTCTGATTTTCTTGAGATTGAAATTTCAAATCACATTTATTCTGTAACTAGCTCTGCAGTTTTAAAAACATGCACTTTTTGTGTGCGATTTGTGTTTAAAAAAATCGTCATTTTTACATCAATTTCGGTTGGAAAACGTTTAAACGCCTAATATGGATGCCTCTGAAGTGAATTGAATTGAACTCTTTCTTGGATTACTCAAAGTACAGGATCCGATTATCAATTTATCCACATTTATATTGCACAAGAATTGTCGCAATGAAATCACTACACCTGAAAATGTGGTGACTTCCTGGCATGAGTTTTAAAATAAACAGTAACATTTGGGGACGCGCTTTTCTACTTATCACGGCACCTGGAGATAATTCAATGACCTTCTCGAACGAGTGACAATCTTCACCCACGTGCGCGCCGTGGTGTCCGACAAGTGAACTACAAGGAATTTCCTGGTCTAATTTGATTTTAATTCAACTCGTTGGTCCTTAGTTTATTCAGCGGAAGGGGAGAAGTGAGCCAAATTGTATGAGTTATTAAATGAGGTGTGCTGATTATGAAAGTTTGAGAACCGCTGTCGTATCGGTATTATCTCTACTGCAGTAATCGATGATACTTCAATATTGACAATAATTTAAGTAAACTCCAATTGGTTTCTATTTTTAAGGGTTTGTCTTGTTTTAGTTTCATTGTCCACAGATGTTATTTGGTCAGCTATCTCCACTTTAAAGATTACAACAATAACCACTGTGACCTTTACGGGAGCAACGTGTTACGATGTGCTGAGTACAAACACGATAAGAGAACTGTATAAATTGACTGGCATCTTAATGCAACTGTCAAGTGCTTGTGTAACTCTCCGATATCACCATGTTCAAAAAGACTGTGTTTTGCTTGCTCATCGGGTGTCTCGCCTTGGTAAGTGATCGCCATTGTTTCGCACTTCTCAAACTGTATAATATTGCTAGGCGAAGTCTATTGAAGTTCCGGATGCACTCATTGATGAAACACTTTCTGCCTGCATGAAGGAGACAGACATCGATAAGGCGAAGCTCTCCGAAATGTTCGATGATGATTTCCATATAAAATATCCTCACGATGTGACATCGAAAATTGTCGAATGCGGCCTGGGCAAAGTTCACTTTTTCAACGAAGACGGCGGGTTTAACAGCAAATTTGTTACTGAAGATCTTGCAAAGTCGCTTCCAGTTTTTGTAACAGATGAGATTGACGCCAAGAAGGCGGACGAACTAGCGAAGGAAATCTACCATGAATGCAGCACTCCGAAAGGGGAAAATTTAGTAGAGAAGATGGCCAATTTCCACAATTGCGTAATGGTCGAATTGAAGAAGAAAACAACCGCCGCGTAAAATAACACGATCTTAATTGCAAAAATAAATTTAAAATAGAAATAAGGTACTTTGAGTCGTTCATTTTGCCCCAAGAAGAACGAGGTAGCAACACGTCTAGAGGAAATAATGCAGCCCCTTTCCCCTTTCCTTGATTCCCTCAATAGTGATTTCTTACGCCCCCTATTGTTGTGCTTCCACATCGGTGATTTTGTCAGCTCGATGTAAATGTAACTCCCTCCTCCTGGCCGCTGCCCACTCTTTGCATCTGTTTTTTTTTATATCCCCTTTCAACTGTTCCCTTTCTCCTACTTCACGTTTCGGCATGGTGACGACGCATACGTTAGAAAATGCTTGCACCTCCTATTTCGAAATCTGCGGTCAATGAACCAAATTTATCCCTAATGTTGACGCCTCCCCCTCCCATCGGTTGTACACGATGCTCCCACTCCACATTCCTGCAAATTGTTAACTTAGTCCCCAGCTGTTATCGTGAGGTTTAGTGTGACACCTGCGGTATAAACATTTTGACAGCGCGTTCTGCATTGGCTAAAATGAAGTGGCGCCGAGGTCTACTCCTAGTAACGGGAGTAGTGAAATTGCATTTGGCTGTGGTTAAGTACTTTGCAAGTTTGGTAGTAGAAAATATACAGGGTGCCTCCATTATACGGTTGATCATTGGTTTTAGTAGAATTAGCGATCATTTTTTTTCTATGGGTCATTGTGTTTTCTGTACGAAGTGACCGTTGAATGACTTTCGGAAGTGTTTGTCGCCAGGGGACAAATAATTAATACACACGCCAGTATCAGGATTTAATATTTCATTAACTACGATTTACGAAACGAACTACAATAATTGGCAGCACACACTCACAGAATGGCCGCTTCCCTCTCCCCTGCGCCATCTATCTTCCCTGGTGCCAACACTCGGGCATCCTGACTGGGCAACGCCCTCGTTGCATATTTAGCCACAGCCATGATATAAAACAAAATGAACTCTAAAACTAACAACAAGAAAAGAAATATGTATAGCTTAATATAACTGAAAATCTTTCAAATATTTGGGTTTATGTCTATTTCGTTTGCCACTTTGCACTAATTCTTCACCTCCTTCTTCACTTTGTAACTCATTTTCCACACTCACAATATTTTTTTGCGGTTCAATCACATCACTTCCATTTTCATCGCTGTCGTTGTCTGTGTCATCGGATATGTCGGTCTCTTCGTCCTCGGGTAACTTGTATACTTTCATTTGACTGACATGGGCCGTTGTTGAAAATGGCCTCCCTCCGGTCCCTGCAATTTTCTCGATTCTATAAACGTCGGCTGGAAGAGCCTCCGTAATCACAAATGGTCCTCTGTAGCGTGGTTGCATCTTCGTGCTTTCTCCCGTTGAAATTGCCACCCTTTTTACCATTACCACGTCACCCACTTTGTATTTTACTCCTACAAATCGTCTTTTATCGTGCCTGGTTTTGTATTTTGCTTGTTCGACTAGAATGTTCTCCCGAATTTCTCGTTGAACATCCTCGGGTGGTCTCCATTCAGCATCCTCCTCCTCGACTAAATTTGATAATGGTCCATCAGTAAATCGGGGTAGAAACCCATATAATGCCTCGAAAGGGGTTTTCCGTGTCACTTTATTTGGTGTAATATTTAAATTTCGCTCGACTTCGGGTATTTTAATGTCCCACTCTGTTTCATTATCCATCGCACTCATTATTACTGGCACTAACGTTTGATTGACTCGTTCTACTTGGCCGTTTGCCCGTGGCCACTGTGTAGAATTTAAAATGTGTTGAATACCGTTTCTATCGATAAAATCTTTAAATAGCTCCGAAGTGAAACAGGTACCTCGATCTGATATCAACCGTCTCGGTATACCGAATTGTGTCATAAAAAGTTCAATAGCATTCACAGTTGGTGCAGTTTTTGTGCTACTCATTGCAAACAGTTTAACAAACTTCGTTAAAGCGTCCACTATAACTAGTATATACATGTTGCCTGCGCTGCTTTTGATAAAGGGGCCCACATGATCTATATGAATCCTCGCAAAGGGTCGACTCGGCGGCGGAATTGGGTGTAACTGACCTGGCCTTTTTCCTCCCGGAATTTTGTTTATGAGACACTCGGCACACGCACTAATATGCCGTCTCACATACCGTTTTACTCGCGCAAACCAATACAGTTCCTTTATTTTCGCAACAGTTCTGTCGACACTGAAGTGCCCCAATAAATCGTGGCACTTCACGACAATACTTTTTCTCAAAGCACGCGGTATAACATACAATAACTTTTCCTCACCGTTCACGATTGTTTTTCTATACAATTTTGCACTTTTCTCCCCTGTACAATCCGGCGTAATGAATGCCGTTTTGTGTTTCGAGTTTTCAGATAAGGGCAATTGTAGAAACCCGTGCGCCATGTCTAGTGTTGTAAATAACTCGTTTCCACTTAAATTTTCCACTTGTTCATCGATTGTTGCCACAGGAAAATTTGTTTTAACAGTTTGTTTATTTAATTTACGGTAGTCTACCACTAAACGCGGTTCGCCCGATTTTTTATGCACTAGTAAAACCGGACTCGCGTAGGCAGATGTTGTTTCCTTAGCAATTCCGGTTTTCTTCCACTCATCCACAATTTGAGAGATAATTTTCCTCTCTTTCATACTGGCTCGATATGGTTTGCAGCGTACTGGCACGTTGTTATCCTCGATGGTCATCTCCATTACATTTGTACAGCCTAATTCTTGTAAGTTAAATGCGAAACAATGTCGGAATTCCTTGCACAAATCCACCAATTCTGCAGTTACTTCCGGTGTTACATCTTCGTCAATATTAAGCATTTCTGCTGTAATCTCAACTGTATCTGTGTCCGTAAACAGCTCCTCCAATTCTTCTCCTTTGTTTTCTATAACTCCCACTACAGCTCCTTCGTTTATTTTTACTCGATTGTTAGTTGGATTAGCGATTGGTACCGATACGATTTCCTCGCCGCAATGGACGTCGATGTAATTAACACTGTTTGCTGCTACTTCGTTTTCCTTCACGCTTCGCAATTTCACTCGATTTGAAGTTTCCTCTACTATTTGCAAGTTCTTAAAAGGATCACTGTTTCGATTACCAAAGATTAATCGGTCACCGACCTTCGCGTATGCTATGTGCTCTAGTTCTGTGAATGACCTTCCAATGATAATGTCTAGACTCTGCACGTTATTTGGCACCACATAAAATTTAATTCTTTCCGCGGTTACATTGTCCACTTTTACATCCGTTTCTATATATTCTTCACAAATTATTGCTGCTGCATTTCCAAAACCATATAGTTCTTGACGTTCGCGTTTTACATTTTTCTTATCGACCACTGCATTTTCTTTAATTGTGCACACTGAACTGCCAGGGTCAATAAGCGCTTCTATTCTTACTCCGTTTACTTCAACTACGCGTAGGAATTTGTCGATGTTGTTACCACTAGTTGATCCCGGTGATGCAATTATGAGTTGCTGCTGCGCCTCGGTTTTGTTTCTCAAAGGGCACTGTGCATGCCTATGCCCGCTTTGTTTACACTTGAAGCAAAGCTCAACGCCTTGGGGCCTGGGGCACTTAGAAGCATAATGGCCTATTTCCGTACAATTGTAACATTTTATTGTCTGTTCGGTAGTTTTCACTTTTGTATTGTCCTGGTTCACGTCACGTTTTTGAAAACTCGCTGTTTTCCCTGAATCCGCGGTCCACTTCGCATGCCTCGGTGGTTCTCGAGGCGATTCTGCGCTGAATCCATAACCCGATACACGATAAAGCGTTATTACATCATGTAAAAAATCGTCAATGTTCGCGTGTTCTTTCACTAAAAGTCCCGGTATCACATGTTTTCGCGATAAGCCCGTTGCGATTTGCTCTTTTGTTTCCCGAAATGATAGTTTAAGTTGTGAGCACAATTTGTGTTTTTCGTGGAAATACGTCTCCACACTTTCCTTTGATTGTTGGACTCTCCTTGTCATGTGTTTCCATTTTTCTGTGAGGCTCTCTTCCATTACGAATGTTGCTCGGAATTTTGTCTCAAAGTCTGACCAGTTCTTGATCTGCGCCCGCCTCGTCCGATGCCAATCACGAGCTCCACCGTATAGGTGAATTCTAGCGGTCTCTAACTTAAATTCTTCTGGCCATTTGTGTAATAAAGCGCAACTATTTATTGTGTCGATCCATTCCTCGGCTTGTATTCCACAGCTACCCCCGAAGTCTCCGATCGTTTTGTTTAAATCTGGCATAATATGGTAAACGTTGTCCCTTGGTCCCGTGTGTAATGCTTGCGCCTGTGCTTGGTTATTCCCCATTACTGATAGTAGCTGGGTCATAGTCGCCATTTGTTGGATCATTAATTGCGTTAAGTCAGGGTTACTGGAATCTGGGAATACAGTATTTATACTCTCGTTAACCGCATTTTCCCCACGTGATCCCGTCACTTGTCCCAACTCTGGGTCATAGTCGCCATTTGTTGGATCATTAATTGCGTTAAGTCAGGGTTACTGGAATCTGGGAATACAGTATTTATACTCTCGTTAACCGCATTTTCCCCACGTGATCCCGTCACTTGTCCCAACTCTTCCACATACGCGTCCTCGTTGTCACCATCACCCGCCATCTTCTTTTCTTTTTCTCGCAATCACACAGCAAAAGCGAAAGAAAATTTCACGATTTCTAGAGACGTTCTTGAGTTATAATTATTCCACTTCTGATAATGTTGTCGCCAGGGGACAAATAATTAATACACACGCCAGTATCAGGATTTAATATTTCATTAACTACGATTTACGAAACGAACTACAATAATTCGCCAGCACACACTCTCACTGAATCGCCGCTTCCCTCTCCCCTGCGCCATC